CTAAATACTGTAACTACAGATCTAGAGGGTTTTTTGTTTGAATTCAATGTAGGTGTTGATGGTTTCTGCCTATAAATTAGCATTAGTCACATGTACTTCAATGACTAACACCAGAGCATAGGTCTAAAAGACTGTGTCTAGGAGAAAGACTCTTGCCTTTGTAGTGGGAAGACCTTGGAGTCTAACCCTGGTCAGGGTCCATTTTCTGACAGGTAGACTCAACCAGACAAGTTGTATCATAGAAAGAAAGTATAGTGCAGCCTGCTTGCTAGGCTTGGAGGTCTTGGAAGATCTAAAAGATGAAATTGAAGTGTCTGGGCAATGCAGAGGGGCTTACATTCTGGTTCCCTATGCCAGTTCCCTCTGGCTATAACACCATAAGCAGAATATATGAATTCCTAGTCATTGCTTAAGGCCATTCAAATGCATGCTCAGAACAACTCCATATCTACAATGAGTGTTCAGATCTACTGTTCCTATTTGATTTGTCACTTACCTTGAGCCACAGTTCTTCTTTTACTAGGCTGTAATGACTGTGAATACGTATAAAATAATCAGAATATAATTTTGTCTATGCATTAAAGGTTCTGCCAAAGCAGACTGATGGGGGGGGGAGGAATGAACACATTTTCAGTGTCTTCAGTGCCTGTCTTTGGCCTGGCACATACTAGATGCTCAAGGAGTAAATATGCCACTGACTCCCTGCTTCCATGGGGAAGAGTTGTCTTGGAGAGGAGAAAGACTTTGTTCAAAAAATAAAATGAAACAAAACAGAAATTTTGCTAAATGAAAAAGATAAAAGAACACAAGAGGGTAATGAATGTTATCAAAGTATATTATAATCAGGTATGGAAACACCACAATGAAATTCATTAGTTTGTATAATTAATACACACTTAAAAACCAAAACTGTGCTGGTACTGGGAAACAGGCACATTTGCACACTGCTAGTGAGAGTTCAATAGGTACAAGCATTCCCTAATGTGGAAATAGCTCTAAACACTACCATTAAAAGCATCAGCCCTGGCAGCAAAGGACTGAGGCAGGAAGCATGCTGGGAAAAAAATCTCTGGCCTAGGACAGAAGAATTAGCTTCTTATCAAACTACATAAACCAGGAGAAAACATCTGTAGGAATCCAATTTGCTGGAATTTCTCAGAGAAAAGGTAGTAGCTGACTATCAAGAATTTGATTTCCAGCAATACACACAAACATATGGGGAGGGGCAGAGGAACAGAAAGGGAATTATAGCTCTTTAGAATCTCAGAGGGAATTGGGGTTACCCTAGAAAGTAAGATACCTAAGTTTATATGCTGCTTTATGTGTGAAATGTGTGTTCATGTTTGTGCATGTATGTTTGTGCAAGTAGAACCCCAAGATCAATGTTAGATGTCTTAATAACTCTTCACCTTATTTTTTGAGACAGGGTTTCCAGTGAACCTGGAGCTCATGGGTTCAGCTAAACTGGCTGGTAACAAGCTCCTGTCTCTACCTTCCCAGTGCATGCACTGAGGAACCTGGTATATTTTTAGGTGGATACTGACAGATCCAAATTCATGTCTTCATGCTTGCAAAGTGTTATTCTGGGAACTTTCTCCCAAATTATCTAAATAATGGTGAGCTCTGTGTAGTCAAGCTAAAGTATAATAAAGCATGAGCTCCTCATTTGGTTGAAAAATTAAATCTGCAATGCGTAATGACTAAGCAGGTTTTCATCTGACCTGTAGTGGATGCAGTCTAGGACACTGTGCTGGTCAGAAATTGTGACAGGAAACAGACTGCTATATTCAGAGAGGATATATGTCCAATAGGTACTAGAACTACAGAGCCTTCCCTTCTACCTACAGCAGAATCTCACAGCCACACAAGTAAAGTGATGTGGAGAGCAATCTGTACAAAGGCAGCCTCAGCGCACAGGGTCCAGGTACTGTCTCTCTGGCCTTAGAGTAGCAGATGCTTGAGCACTCTTTGGTCACTCTGATAACATAGCTACATAAGACTGCAGGTGGTCATGTGTCATGCTAACAGGCACACACACAGAACCCTTGCTCAGAGAGAATGAAAATATGTGTCTACATTGCAACTGGTCAATGTTTATCCTCTCAGCCTGACCTGGATTTCCACAGGTGTCTATGGCATTCTAAATTTCCAAACTCGTTTCCCCAAAGCATCACACTCCATACCCACAGCAGTTAATCCTCAGAGAATTCTCAGATCCCCTCATCAGTTCAACGATGGGACCACATGCTCGCACTTGGCCTCTTTTGCAATCAAAGCTGATCTAAGACTCTAAAGGCCTTGATGACAGTAACTTCAATGCTTTAAAACTCTTAAGGTACCCATGAAGTACCCACACTATAGAACCTCATGTTTGGCTCCCTGATAACCATGCATCTGGAAGTCCTGAATGTTAAGAGACTAAAATCTCTTCATTTGAGGAAGACACCACCTCCTGAATTCCTGTCTGCTCCAGAGAAAGCTGCACAGAGTAAGCTAGGGGCATTTCATAGACATGCCTGTTTTTGAAGTTTTCAGAAAATGCAGAATCTCAGCTCTTTCTTCTCTAGCCCCTTCCTCTACCCTCAGGTAGGGCTCCCTGCTAAGCAGAGGATCGACTCAGCTCACGTATGGAACCCAATCCACAATCCCACCCCTTATCTTCATTCCTGCCCCATTTCCCTTCAAGGATCAGGGCCAGGGGAACACAGAGACATGGAAGACCACACACCAATAACTTCCTAGTCTCCTCTCCAGATTGGTTAGGCCACAGATTCTGGAGCTAAATTTGGAATTTCAGAGAGAAGATGGCTCAATAAAGTCCCTAACCTCTGGAATTCCAGTAACTTAGTTACTGTGTACACACCACACCACACATGCAGCTGCAGAGGCCACTGACCAGCTTTATAGGAATGTATCAAGAGCTCACCCATGACATAAACAACGAATGCAATAAGATGGGTAATGTTAAACTATGTTATGCTACAAAACTGTAGTGTAACCTTTAGTGAACATGAAATCCCACAGGAGCACTTTTATCAAGCCGAGATAATAACAGTATCCAATGGCTATGACACAATATCCTGAGGATTCTGAATGCACAGGCTGGTAAACTGTGGGTGTAAGATGATGCTCTGGGGAAAATAAAAACTAACAAAGGAGCACAATGACTTCCCTCTCCCTTCATTTCCCTCTTCTCTTTGTAAAGGAAAACGTTGTCCCTATAGACAAAAGACACAGAATACAACGAACATGTAGTGTGTTAAAAATGGAGGCCCATAGTTGGCCTAGAACTCTGACGTTTCATGCCTTCTCTATACCTGGGTTACAATCCCATCTGTTTTACTTTCCAGTCCAGCCTGAGTTTGTGTGTGTAGAAGGGGGTGGATTTTGACAGAAAGATTGGAGTGGTCTCACTTCTAACACTTCAAGACCTTGTATGCAGACATAAGTTAAAAGATTAAGAGCAGTGTTCATATGACAATGTGTTCCATTTAAATGAGCAGACAATAGCACAGCAGACCTGATGGGTGAGGGTGGGAAGGGCAGCTATGCAATTTATTAAAATAAAGGAAACCTCAAGCTTCATCTTGTGATTTAAGAGGAAGTCAGCCATGACCACTTTGTAGTTTAGCTTGTCTATATTTTAAACACAAACTATCATTAACAGACTACAAAATGAAATAACTATTTTCAGAGTAACGCCAGACTTGGAGAAAAAGTATTCTGTCATTCTCACTGAAGCTCAGGCAGTAAACACCCATGGAGACAGCAGAAGGACGTGTGAGCTTCTGACTGGGAAGACGGAGTGGGCGGGATCTGGGCAGCAGTGTCAGCTGCTGCAGTCAGCGTCTCAGCCTCCATCCTCATCTACCTACAAAGGTTGCTTTGTACTGGCTAAACCCTGGAAGATCCAAAGGCTGGGAAAATAAATACATGAATACTACCTATTCTTGCACGATACGACTGTCAATGAAAACAGCTTGAACCAGGATTCTTTCTTTCAGAACATGCACCCCTCCCTTCCCAACACCCCACCCTAAAATAGAAAAAACATGTATCACAACCACACCGGCATTGTTTTCTACAAAGAGGTTAATCTGGGGTATGTCACAGCAGAAACAGAAATAGATTTTGTCCTGAGCAACAGTTCAAACCGTCCATCAGGGTAAAATTGAAGATGTTTTTGGAATTAGTGTGCAAACAGACACACCCTGTTTACCCCTTAAAAAAAAACAACAGCTCCCTTCTGACACTGTCCATTCAGACCAGGCCTGGGAAAATCATAGGGATGGTTTGCCCTTTACTCCTTAACACAAATGGTATTAGAACTTCTGTAGGAAACATCAGGAAATGAGCAACTTGAATTCATGAGCATCCTACAAAGACAGATATAATTTTGAAAGCAGCAATCAGTCTTACTTATTTAGCTGTTTTTCCTGTAGTTCAGGGGATGCAACCTAGAACTTCATGTGTTCTAGGCTACACTACCATTAAGACACCCTCAGCCTGAACTTAATTTTATTTTTGACACAGAGTCTCCCTCGATAGCCTAAACCAGGCTGGAATTCACTGTACAACCCCAGTTGACCTTGAACTTAAAGCCATCTTCTTTCCTGAGTGCTAGGAGTAGAGGCATGAACCACCATAAATTATGTTTTAAATATCGTTCATACTCAGAGGGGAAATGGAGTATCAGTTTAGTTTCTGACATTTAGAAGAAAGTCAAGAAAGCAAGGCATCAGGAGTACAATAAGGACACCTTCTCTGTCAGGGCACTGGATGTCCTCAAGTGGGCACAGGAGTGAATTTGATTTGAGTACAAGAGTAATCCAGCCAGTGAACACAGGAACATATTGGTGTCAGAATATGGCTGCTTTCAATAATGTCATGTATACTACACAGTATAAACAAACATGAACACAAACACAGAGGACATACAGAGAGGGGACACACACACACACACACACACACACACACACACACACACACACACCTCTTACCTCCATCATGGGCCTGGCACTGTCATGCACAGAAAGGATGTGTGTCACTTTGTTCCTGCTCAATTGTTCTGCATCTCTTGCATCTGCCATCAAAGTAAGAGACAGACATTTTAATAGTCTCCGTGAGTTTGTTACTCTTAAAGTCTAAGCAGAAAACAGCACATGGCTTGCAGTTTTTTTGATACTTCATAACTGACCAAATGCAGAATACTCCAGATTTGTGGATTTAGGATTACTGCTTTTATGTATTTTTTTTCTTAATTAATTTCTGACTGATGCAACTTTGGAGCTCAAATATAGTACTCAGATTAAAAAGCACTGTAATTGGAAGGCTTCTGAAAGATGGGAACATAAGAAGTGCACTAGTATGTTTTTACATGACACATACATAATAAGCATGTTTAGAAAAAAACAGTTACCTCTTAATTATTACTTAAGTTGAAAGTAAAACCCAAGGACCCACTTTCTGTAGGAAACAGAAAAGCATACTGGACAGTTCCTACCCTGACAGCAGTACAGCATGAGACAGGACTAAGGTTTACAATATCTATCTCTACATCACAGCAAAATCAATCAAACAAACAAACAAAAATTCAGATAGTTTTCCACACAGAATTACCAACTGGCTATTAAGTCATCTTCATAAGGGACTTGGACACTTTCTTGTGCCTCCAGCTGTAGGAGGAAGGCTAATTTGGGGATACTCTGAGTTAGAAATCTTGGCTAATCTACAAAACAGTCCAGCAAGAATGAAGAAGGCCCACTATTCTGAGTTCTTAGTCTTGGCCAAGCTCTTCAAAGGGGTACAAGAGAAAAGGAACAAAAAAGCAAGTATTCCATGATGATGTTCAAGAATATCTGGTGACATGGGAAAATGCCCAGGGCCTGTTGGGCAAGGGGGAAACAGAGGCACCAAATTTAAGTACACCATAAACTGAGTTTGTACAAGCATGTACAGTCAGAAATGCATCTGGTGAGGCAAACAGTAAACACACTCATCACAATGTGGAATAATGAAAGAATGTCTCTTCTCTACAGTGCATTGTGTTTGTATCTAAGGGTTTATCACGCACAATCTCTCTAGGCTGCACATTAGAGAGTCTAGTTCTGGGTTCCAGCCTAGTTCCAGGTCTATGGTCAAACTAGGTCATTTACATTCCCAACAAGCCCTGGGATAGAAGCAATCTTCTAAATATTTGGCAATGTCAGGAAAAAGGACTTTAAATGTAACATTAAAATGTTTGTTTTTAATTTTAAGATTCTCCTCATTGATTCAACCACCCCAAGCTTAAATTCCAATGCACAAACCAGCTTTCTGCTTCACCAGTGACCTCAACCACAGCCCAGCACCACCATCATACATCAGGGGAACATGGCTTCAAATCACACTGTCCTACAGAAGGTAGTGCAGAAGCCTTCCAAATGCTCACATGGGGCTTGCTCCTTAGCTTAGTGCTACTGGAAGGTGGTAGGTCCTTCAAGTTGTGATTTTTAGGCCTGTGGGCCATGCCCTTGAAGAAGGCAGGAGGATACTAGTGTCCCCCACTATCTTTTTTACTTCCCTGCTGCCATGAAGTGAAAAGCACCTTCTCCTTCAACCCCTCCCATCCCTGCCCCCATTTCCAACATGATATACTGACAGTTCCAAAAACAATGGGTCAACTGCCTAAAACCTGCAAAGCGAACCTTTCCCCTTCTTAAGTTGATCACTCCAGGTATTTGTTACAGGAACAAAATGCTGACCAACAAAAACAGGAGGAAGACTGTTTAGGCAAAGGGTTGGCTAAATGGCCCAGAGGATAAAGGTGCTTGCTTTGAAGGCCTAGCAGTCTGAGTTTAATACCTGGAACCCGTGTAAAGAGACGAGAAAACCAAACCTCAAAGTTAACCTTTGCTCCCCACACTGTGGCATTAATGAACATGTGGCGCGCACGAGCACACACACATACACACAAACTCTTTCTCAAATGTATTAATAAGTTAATAGGTAAGGTTTAAAAAAAAAAAGGAATGGTTGAGGAACCCACAGCTACCGACCCACACATTCACATCAAGGTATGGGCTCCTACTTTCCTCCTGTACACGCAGCTTAAACATGCAGATGAGGCTGTAGCCTCTGGGGCCCACGGACCACAGACGGAAAGCCTGATGGAGCAGGTTCACGACACTGATGTTTCTCAGGTCTCCTCTGGAGTCCAAGTTCACCAGGATTTAAATTTCAAGCAAAACTTACCGGCAGATATCATTTGCAGAAAATAGAAGGCTTCATTCTGACACCTGGTATATGTATACACCGAATGTTAACCATGTTCAGCCCACTCCCTCCCTGTCCCGTGCCTCATCTCCTGTCTCTTTACTAAGCCCCCTCCACTTTCATCTCGTGCTTGTCTTTCTGGGTCTGGCTATGTCACTAAATACAAGGATCTTCCACTTCGACAAGATGGAAATTGTTTACAACTATTGTTTGACTTCACACAAGTTGCCTCTCTGTAGTCATGAGAAATGTATCCCCAGGTTCAGTTAAAATTGGATCAAAGATGTTTGAAAATTTGCATTTGGACTGGTTGGCCCGTAGCTGGCTGGTTCCCATCTCATGAACAGCCATTTGTTCTTGTCATTGCTCCCTAAACAATAAAGTACAACTCTCATATAACGTTCATTTTGTGTTAGGTAACCATCTAAAGATAGTTTAAATAAAGAGGAGACAGTGGGGGTTCTTATTTCTTTAACTATTTTTTTAAGAAAAAGATTTAGTTACAGTGATCTAACAGTTGTCAAGCTAAAAGGCACAGACCCCAGCCATGGTAGGACCATGGACCCAGACATGGTCCTTGGCAGCAACCTGGGTCTGACCATCACCATGGTCACAGGTGGCAGCAAAGGCCACCCAGATTGGCATGGCCCCAGCAGCAACAACGTGGCCCCTGAACCCCAAAACAACCCCAAGTCTTGACCCAGACCCTTAGAATCAGCATGGCCCTTGATGGCAACAGGAGCCACAGACATGAACACAGACCCTGGCTGCTGTAGCACCAGGGACCCAGACATGCCCCTTGGCAGCAGCCCAGTACGGATGTCACCGTGGCTCCGGGTGGCAAGCAAACCTCTCCCACCAGCCTACTCCTCGCCATCTTCATTTCTCCCTTTCTGCCTTTTCCCACAGCACATGAACCATTCTGCTTCTCTTTCTCCCACATCTCTCCACCACGTATTTGCTCATCATAAGGGCCCCACACGCCAGGCACCACAAGGTACCAGGCCATGGATGTCTTCTCACCAGCGGGCGTCTTGAGGACCCTGGTTGGCCTGTGGCTGGCTGGTTCCCATCTCAACAACTGGGGTTCTATGAGGGTGCTGCATCACTTTAAATAAAGGACTTGATTTGGGTTTAGGTTTCTGTGAGAGGTCCTGGAGCCTGCCCCTAGCAGATACTGAGGGACAATATACTTAATGGACTATTTTAGACTGTCATTTAGCTTTATCACACTGGAAGACACAATGGTGTCTCAACCTTTTGGCTATGGTCAAACAAATGTATGATTCACACCACAAGACTCACCCTTTTAAGAGGATACATGCATGTCAGTGGTTTTCAGTCCATTGAGAGTTGTGCAACTGTGACCACAATTAGCTTAAAACTTTTCATTACCCACAAAATACATTTTACAATAGCTTGCCATTTTAAATTGTGTTTTGGTGATAAAACTGTAAATGTGTAAATAAAGATCGCACATGACCCAATGGGCTGCTGGGTCCCTGAAGACAGGCAAGCAAGATACCTGCCTTCTCTCTGCTGCCTCAAAGTGTGTCTGCATGGCTGCACTACTCCGGGATCACTCTCTCCCATGAAGCTCAGCATGGACCGAGTGTGCATGAATCCTTCATCAGTTTTGCTGGATGATGACAGGGAACTTTCGGTACTTACGGACCTCACACCACTGGACATTCTAAATGGAAACGCACAACCACAGTCACTGTGGCAGTGAGCTATGCATGTGTGCACAGTAGCTCACTAGTCACAAAAGCCTGTAAGGTTGAAATCAGGTCTTCCTGGGCTCCTTCAAAATGGGATCACCTGGTAATGTCAGACATGTCTCAAACCAGAGTTACATATGCCCAACCCACTGAGCTCTGGAGTGCCAGGGGCTCAGATTAACAGACTGGGAAGAGTAGAAAGTTCTGGAAATGGAAGATTGTTATAGTTACACAACCATGGGGGTGAGGGGGGACTTAGAGCTTTGACCTATTCAGAGATAGCCACAATGTGATATATATGTATTTACAACCAGAGAGAGAGAGACAGACAGACAGAGAGAGAGAAAGAGAGAGAGAGAGAGAGAGAGAGAGAGAGAGAGAGAGAGAGAGAGAGAGAGAGAGAGAGAGCGAGAGCACTAGCTATCACTCACCTTTGAAGTTGCCAATATACAGGCCAGGCAGGATCTGGAAGAGAGACACAGGCATGACTGTCACAGGATACCAAGTGGACAGCGTTGCTGCCTAAAGAGATAAGGCTCTCACAAGGTTTCCCAGCTAAGCCTGGGGCCCCATATCTACCATACCCAATTCCCAGGACCTCCCTGGGCACAGCTACTAAGGAAATCTGCTCACAGGGTGAGACTGTAACCTTAACTCCCTGCAGCTCCCTGAGTTTGGGCCAGGATAGCATGTGCTCTGGGCATTCAGAGAGAACACCACCCTCCTCCCCACTGCACCACCCTCACTTCCTTGGCAAGCATGCCCTCAGTGTGCAAGATCTTTGTACACAGTGTCCACTGCCAAGTGCTACTAACAGCACCACAGTGTTCTGTGACCCTGCTCAGTGATGCCATGGCAGGCCTGCTTCTCTGCTGGACTAGAAAATTCCTCATGTCCCCACAGAAGACATCAAAGGGGTGAGATGTTATATAGAGAAGGTATGTTTCACAATCAGCTGATGATTTTCAAAGTAGCAAACAAATTCCTGTCTATCTTTTGCAAAGACCGTCAAATCGAATTACAAAAATATTCTGGAAACTAAAGGCAAGTCCTTCTTGCCACGATTACCAGTTGCCTTTGGCTTGCTGACTCTACACATTCCCAAACGCTGTAGCCACACAGTTCTCCTGTCCTCTGCCTCCTCAGTGCCAGTCTCCCAAGGCCCCCATTTTTATGAAGCAGAGTAGAACAGGTACCATAGCATTTCTGTTGTAAAACAATATAATACGTTGGAGATGGACCAAGCTGAGATTGACAGCTTTTAGCTGCACATGACTATGGTCCCAGCTACCTGAGTGGCTAGGACAGGAGGATCACAAGTTCAAGGCCAGCTTGGGTCATAACAGAAAGGTCCTGAGTCAAAATATATCAAAAATGGTTGGAAATGCAGCTCAGTGGTAGAGCACTTGCCTAGTATATGTGAGAACCTAAATTCACTCCCCAGTACAAGAGATTTTAAAAAATGAGTAAAGACAAGATTCAGTTAGTATAGGAAAAAGATTGTTACGGTGCTATATACAGCCACCAGCCCTAAACATGTTTACCTTCTAAACTGGTATCCTTCATGACTAGAACCAATGCCTAGGGGAGAGTCTCCCTAATTTAGTACTTTTTACCCCACTACAGGGACTACCACTGAGCCTTGGTAGCAGCAGGCATACAGTAGTACAACTTAGTGAATGGATGGATGCATGAAAAACTAACACAGCCAGGGTTCCTGCTGACAATGGCAATAGTGTTTAGTAGGACAAAGATGTGAAACTTCCATCCCCTTCCCACACTGAAACAGTACTTCCCATGGGGTTAAATCCACTTGTGGTGATATCTTGCTTGTACAAATAAAGCCTGTCTGAGGATCAGAGAATGGAGCTTACCACTAGTTAACCATAGAGGTCTGGAGGTCTGTACAGACAGACAGGAAGTAGCTGGGCAGAAACAGGATAAGCACGGAGAAACAGGAAATCACTCTCTTGTCTGTTGAGGCTAAGGAGGTAAGGTGTGCTGTGGCTTGCTCCTTCTCTCTGATCTCTCAGCATTTCCCTCTATTCTATATCTGACTCCAGTTTCTTATTATCTAGACTAATTAAGAACTCCGGCTAGCTCAGTCGGCAGAGAATGAGACTCTGAATTTCAGGGTCATGGGTTAGAGCCCCACAATGGGCGCCAGCATTTAAAATGTAGCAAGTACCTAATGAGAATCTAAGACTCTACACAAAATAAGCATTGCATGAATAATTTTACTTATTGGTTATATGCTAAAATGCTTTAAATATACTCAGCTTAATAATATTCTTAAGATGATCATCATCTGTTCTAAATTTCAAAGAAATTTTACTAGAAATTTTTAAATGATATATTTGGTTCATGTTATATTTCTACTGGATAAGCCGTGGCCTACACTGAGAAGGCCTGTGAAGGACTTCTGTCATTTGCACTGGCTTCCTCCCTCTGTCCCCAAAGCACTACACCTGCCCCATATTCAATACAGTCAGTATGTGTTGATCCACTGAAAATATCTAAATGTCTCTGTACATATAGCTTTCCATTTCTACACCAGAAACTGTTTCTGCCCAAGATAGTTAGGGTACTAAAACAATCAAGCAATCTATTACTTTTAAATAGTACAATGTAGATATGAATACTACCACTCTTGCTGAGAAGTGTGAAGTTAATATTCCATAGGCAATCATTTGCACACCTAAATCTATTCCTTCAATTATAATATAAAATGCCAGAAACCAAATGCAGAAAGGGGCAGCGGATGGTGGAACAAACTAGAAATACCAAAGGAAATCTGAGGCACAACCTCAGTCGGTGGGAAAGCAAATGGAGGCTCCAAACAGACGGATGCCTCCACTGGTCTAATTTTAAAAGCAGAAGGCTCATAGTGCTGGCCAATCCTTGCACTAATGAGAACATAATGCAAGCAGATATCCAAGAGAGGGGGTTTGTTTCAAACTGGATCACTGGCAAAAGAGATTTTAAGTGAATTAAATCCTAGTCACCAAAGTACCTCAGTGAGATACTAGTTCACAACATGCAGAAGTGTGGAAAGAGTCAAAGAGCATGAAGAGTCCACCAAGGGCAGGTTCCCTCTCCTACAGTCACCTATCTGGACCCCTGCCTCAACTTCATTCTCGAGGTAATAACCAAACCACTGCAGTGCCTCGCACTCCAAAGCAGAGACCAATGTGAAAGGGTGAAGAGGAGGAAAGAGAAGGGAGAGAGCAAGCCACACCATTAGCGCCCAAAAACATGACAGGGAATGTGTGTGGAGATGAGATGGGGGTTGGGGGTGGAACTCAAGGCCCCAGCTCATCAAAACCAAGATATTTAAAAAATTTGTACAGGAGTGCTTGTCTTAGTCCCGGCCATCTAAAACCATACTAAGATTTTCCTTTAAACCAGCAAGTTCCTGAATCTTGAGGCTGACACAAATAGACCCCTGAGGACTGTCACCCTCAGACCATCCTCAGCCTAGAGGGTGGCGGGGGGGGAATGGGGGGGGAACTGGCCCAGCAGGTTTGGGCCACAAGAGGGTCAAGGAAGGATTTTCTAAAAGGCCTAGTGCGCACAACAGCCAGCCAACAGGTTGCCCTAGGGAAGCCCCACAACCCAGGGTCAACCAGCTCCAGACACCGAAAGCCAGGTCAGTTCTAGGGTTTTCGTCAACTTCCCCACCAGAGTGGCTTGTCTGTGCACGCGCACACCAGTCTGGGGAAGAGGAGAGCAAATTACAGAAGCCGCCGCCCATCTGGCCCAGTTCACCAATGCTGTGGGTGGCAGGCGTCAAGGGGCCCGGTCTCCAGGGAGGGGGAGAGACCACATCCAGCACGGGTCCTGGCTCTCAAAGGGCAGACTGTGCGGGCCGGGCCTGACGGTGGAAGCCGCAAAGGGAAGGGGCGGCCGTGCCGGGACGTTACCTGGCTCATCCCACTCCCCATGGCCGTGCCGCGCTCGCCGCTCCGCGCTCGCGGGAGGAGACGGCGCGCGGGCGGGCGGACGGGCGGGGCGGCGGGAGGCGGCGCTAGGGCGGCGCTCGCAGCGCGCTCCGCCGGAGACCCGGCAGGGCCTCCCCGCTCTGCGCACGTCGGGCAGAGCCGCCCTCGCCCCCGCGGCCGGCCCAGCGCGCACGCGCACGCGCACCTAAGCCTGCAGTTCGCGCAAGCGCGCCCGGGGGTGGAGGCGGTCGTTGCGGTAGGGGGTCCCCACGTCCCCAAAGGCGTTTTCCCCTGGGGCTCCCTGATGCCGATTACCGGCAGTCTCAGGCCTTGACTCCCTGGGTGAATCAGGTGCTAAGCAGAGCCTGGGCTCGGGGCTCCCCTGTCTGGGTTTTCTGAGCCATCAGTTTTAGGCGGGGGGATTCCTGTGGCCCTGCCACACCCAACCCAGACCGAGAAGGAGCACGCTCTGGGAAAGGTGGGCTAGGTGACTCACCTCTGCGGAGATACTGCCCTGGTCTAGGAGAGGAAGGCAGCTGGAGGCTCCAAATGGTCGAGGGTTTCCTTCAGAGATGACTGCTCCCAGACAGCCCCCTACCTGATGTGACAGGTCCGACTCTGCTGGCCCTGTATCAAGTTTTATTACATACATTACAGCATGTAATAAAATTATTTGAGGACCATCTACCATCCATCCTAAAATTTAAATTTCCTTTTACAGGCACAAAAATCCTTCAGCTAGAGCAGCGATTCTCAACTTCGGGGTCGAATGATCCGAATTTCACGGGGGGGGGGTGGCCTAGAAGCATCATCAAACCCAGATATTTATAATTCATAACAAGCAAAATCACAGCTATGAAATAGCAAGAAAAATCACTTCATGATGGGGGGCACAACATGAGGAACTGTATTAAAGGGTTGCAGCATTAGGAGGGTTGAGAACCACTGAGCTAGAGGTTTCTCGTTTTCACTTTGTATTCCTGACAATGCTCTGCACTCAGTAGCTACCTAGAAAGTACTTGTTGAATGAAGATACACCATGCTGCAAGCTGATGTGACAGGTTCGATTCTGCTGGCCCTGTATCATTTGCCACTCTGTCCACTTGGGCTCATCCCCAGAGGCTGCTCTGCTCTTTCGGAGGCATCTAGGCTTGCTCTTGCCCACGTGCTACTGACATCTCAATCCCCAAATCTTTGCATAGCTTCTTTTGAGGTCTCAGAACAAAGGCCATCTAATAGAAGCTTCTTTCGACTAAACCAATTTATAAGGGATGCTCCAGGTAGCTATAACATTACTGCACCTTATTGTTTTCATGGCACTTAGGATCAGAAATTATACTTAATTGCTTACTATTGACCTGTCTCTTAAGATAGCAACCTCTATTCTGTCTTATTCACGACTTAGCCTTATGGCCTGGGTCAGCAACTAGCACAAAAATGAACTAAACATTTGTTAAATCAATTAATGGATTCTTAGCTGAGAAACCAGTGGGGAGGTTCTAAAAAACAAAAATCAAAAAAAAAAAAAGAAAGAAAGAAAAGAAAAGAAAAATGCTGTTATTGAGTTGGCCCAGCTGGTAAAAGTTCTTGCAACCAAAGCCACATGAGTTCGATCCCTGGAAACTATCTGGTAGAAAGAGAGGACCAAATTCTGTAAATTGTCCTCTGACGACACCTGTGAGTGTGGTCACTCACACTCGCAAATAGTAAGCAAACATATGCAAAATAGTTTTAAAGTTTTTAGAGTGCTAGAAAAATGTGGGAAGAGCTTGTTGACTCTGTCTAGTGTCATTTCCCCTTGCACATTCTCGTCCTGGACAGTAAAAGGCCCTCCCTCCATGTGCACTTGCAGTGTCTCTGCCTGCAGGATGAGCCTGTGGCCTGATCTGCTTCTTGTTATTGGAATGTTCCTAGCCCACCACCCTCATGTCTTTTTCCTCCTGGTCAATGGGGCAGCTTGCCCCCTTCCCTCTGCAGCACCCTGCCATTACACCATCATTCCCACTGCTTAGGGTCAGCATAGTTAATGGACTCTACTAGGGGAATCACATGATCAGCTTCTATTCCCCAACCCTTGGGAATATCTTGGGCAAGATGATGAACTGTCTCAGAATTTTCCTCTTTAAAATGGGTTCGCTAGACTATGAGTTTATGAAGGCAACCAGCCAATCGATTGTTCTCCTTCACTCTTCGTAGGTCATTTTTTCCAGTAGAAAGGACAGCTGCTCAAAAAACAATGAGTTCATAAGTTGGTACATACACATAAATGACAAGTGTAAATTGTGTTTTTTAATTCTGCCATCTATTTGGAATACTGCTTTGTGTGTCTATTCTTCTGCTATTGTTTATAGCTTAGATTATGAGCTCACAGTTCCTCATACCTGTCTCCTGACAGTTGAGTTAGCATCTTGCCTGCATTTGCCTTGGCTCATTCCAGAATGCTCACATTCCCAGAACTCATCCCAAATCCTTACATTTCACTTTTTGAGGAGAGGAGGAAAAATATCATTAATATCAGAAGTCAAAGAGTGTGGGTTTGTGTGTGTGTGTGTGTGTCTGTGTGTGTGTGTGTGTGTGTGTGCGTCTTTCTGAGAGAGAGAGAGAGAGAGAGAGTTCCATAATGAGTTTCTGTCTCTCCTTGTCTCCTTCATTCTAGAACCTAAACCCAACTCCATCCATCATAACATGACTAGTATCTCCTTTTCAATTTCTGCAGTTCTATGAGTTTTTCTCTTAATAGTTTCTGATCATGAAAAGGGGGAAAAGTCTAAACAAACCCGGTGCATTTCATACCCAGTGTAGAATTTGTTTGTTTGCTTGTGTTTTCACACATTCATAAAAGTTTTAAAGTCCAGAAGCCAAGTGGATTTCTACTCCATAAAAGTATTCATTGGTAAGCTTTTTTCCTACCATTTCCCCCACCCTCAATGTGGCCAACATCACAGATGAATAAAGTATTCATGACGCAATAAATGTCTTGTGACCAGCTCTTACTTGATGTGGATGGCAATGACAATTATTTGTTGTAACATATAAAAGTCCTCAAGCAGAGATTCATTAGGTATGTTAATGATAATTTCAGAGAATTCAGAGAAAGCTCTACTCAAGTGAGTGGTTGTGCAATATGCCTTGGGCAAAGCACCAAAGGAAATGAAAGGCAGACACTAGTTAGTGTGAAAAGGAGAAACAAGGCAGAGCCCAGAACTTCAAAAGCAAGGGGCAAGAGGCCTGTTTCCCAGGTGATTGGGTAGAGCAGTGAGAGGAGTTCAGAATCCACAGAGATGCTGTCAGGCTTTTATCTGAGAGTTAATAAAGTGTGCTCACCTGTAAAGTCCAGGAGTATTGGCAAGACCTAGAAGAAATGAAATTGTGAGCAGATTATAAGTCAATGTCCCACAAATAGAGAACACTAGTTCCTAACAGTGGATGGAAATAATTCTTCTTTAACACACAAGTCATAGACTATATGCCTGGTACTGCCAGCACGATCAGCCATTGCCAAAACTGTAGTTTCTTAAGGGCAGAGGGCAATTGGTTATTTACACATTTATTTGTTTTGGTGTTGATGATTGAAGCCAGAGCCTCAACTATATTCTACCACTGAGCTACACTGCCACTTCCAAGAAAAGTTGTTGCTGAACTTGGCATCCAGCACACAAAATCGTTCCTAATCTGAGAAAATGTATGTTAGATAAGGAAAGGAACACAGCCAGGATGTGGGTAAACTTCTGTCTTAGATACTTTTCTATTGCTATGATAATTTGCCATGACTAACACAACTTATAAAAGAAAGTGTTGAATTTGGGGTTCACAGTTCCACGTTAGAGTCTATGACTTGTGTTACACAGGAGCAGTAGCTGAAAGCTTACATCTTGATCCACAAGTACAAGGCAGAGCAGGCTAACTGGAATGGCATGGTCTTTTTAACCTCAAAGTCTATCACAGTGACACATCTCCTTTAACAAAGCCACACCTCCTTCCTGAACAGTTCCACCAACCAGGGACCAAGTATTCAAACATATGAGCCTATGGGGGGGGTCTTCCTTCTTCAGCCCTCCTGTCTGGGGAAATTCCCATTGGATAAGGAAAGAATTGTAGCCATGATGCTGTTTAAATTGTCCCAGGTCTGAGTTTCACTAATTGTGCATGCATTTGTATACCAGACACCAGGCACTACCTGTTTTCCTCCTTCTGCTCCCCACCCTCCATTTCCTCTTCCTTTTTACTTCCTTTTTGTCTGAGATGTGGTTTTGCTGTGTAGCACAAGCTAACCTGCAAATTTCTCTATAGCCAAGGTTCTTTTCAGAGTCATAATTTCCCTGCCTCTGCCTCCCAAGTGCAGGGAGGATGTGTGTGTACATACTCAAGTCTGTCTTTTCTTTTTCCCCTAGAGCAGTATTAATTTCCCTAGAGCCATATAGGATCCAGTAGTGACCAAACTCCTATGTACTTCCTTTTTAAAAGCAGACACAGTGCAATTCTAATAGAGGAAAGGGGAGGGGTAGTAAGGAGAGGGAAAGCAGGGAAAGGGGTTAGAAAGGATTGGAAGAGAGAAGAGGAGGGAGACCTGTTGGGGAGGAAAGTGCTAGCCTTGCAAGGGTGCTTTCCTACTTGCTGGGCTCCACTCTTGGGTGCACTGCTGATGCTTCAGATCCCATGGATTTCCAGAGTTGGACTCATTGAGTCTGTTGTCTGAGCTTTGGGAAAGAAACTTTGCCTGGCCTACTCACTTCCTTCTTGGATATTTTATGTAGTTATTTTCCCCACAGGGAATGACTTGACCTAAGTCCTTCTCTATGCCTACCAAGAAAGGTTCTGCAGCAATTAACGTGTTCTTTTAAAATTTATAATGCATAAACAAAAGATATTTAAGGGTGGTAACTTTATGCCCAAACAACTAGCAATATCTGAACCACTGATACCTTCTTAGCCCTTGTAGAATATTTGACTTTATCTTGGTATTTGACAGGACAGAACTGATGTAAAATCCAACTTGATCCTTGCTTTACTACCCACCCCACCCTCACCACCACTTGAACTTAAGACACACCCAGGAGGCTTGCCAGCTCTGCCTCTCTTTAGTACACTAGGTACAGTCTCTAGACCCTCAACAACCCTGTTCAAACTGACCACATAAGCTGCAATGTGGGGCAGGGTGGGATATCCCCTAAGTGTTCCTGGTCAGAGGACTCCATCCATTGGGACTTACTGCACCTGCACAGGCAGTCACCTCTCAGACTCACTTCTGCTTCTTCACAAGGCCAAAGGGGCTAGAGCCTAGCTCAGAAGTGCAGATTCGAGGGGTGACTTGCCTCAGAGTGGTTCTGGGCAGGGGTTCTGGCTGCCTTGACCATTTTGCACTTCTCTACTGGCTGTAATTTTGGAACTCCTCCAAAAAAAGGGCTTGAGCTTTGTTTTGCTCATTTAAAAAACGTATTTTCTGTATGCGAAACCAAAATTGAATTGGAAATGAAGGCACACACACAGCCTGGATGGGGCTTGATGGAGGAGGGGCTTTCCTAAGAAAATGGAATGTCCCAAGAGAAATTTCACTCACTGTGATGGGGAAATCCAATTAGCATGAAATAACACTGTTGTTATTGAACATTCTATCTTGGGTTTTACCTTCGTTAATAGTTACCACTGTTTTGACTAGTTAGTCATCAT